GAATGTTGAAACTAGAAAATAATAAATTATTTAATTTAAAAAAAAAAAAGAGCTGTGCACCAACAGGGCTTATAACATGCCTGAGCCACGAAGCCTAAAGCATCAGTCCTTCATTTTGTCAGGATGGAGGGTACAGGAAAGTGTCACAGGGAAGCAGCTGACCATAAAATTGAAATATTTAATTGGTAAAAAAGAAAAAGAAAGAAAAAAGAAATTAGGCATGTGATCAATACAGACAAGTATTACAAAGATCTACATGAACACGTGCAGAGTGAAGTAAGCAGAGCTAAGAAAAGAATATACGTAGTAGCTACCATGTAAATGGAAAGAACAATGACACACTAAAAAATCAAAAGTAAATGTAACAAAATTATAAAGATCAAGATGGACTCAAATGAAGAGAGATAAAAAGACACCTCCAATTCATCCCTCCATGGAGGTAGAAGGTCCACAGGTATTACACATAACACATATTTTGGGACTTTCTCAATGTATCAATCAGTTAATGCTAGTTTTTTTTCCTCTCTAGAAAACAAAAACCACTATATGTCACATGGGATGGCTCTCTAAGTGGGGGAGGAGGAAGGACACATGGGATATAATGGTGATGCAAGAAACAAAAAGCATCAAATTAAAAAAATTATTTTTTAAAAAGGCAATTCAATCACTAAATGCAACCCCAAAGCTCAACAAGTCCTCTAACAAATTTCCCAAAATTTCTTCAGGTTTGCCTTTGGAACAATCCATATATCCATATATACCTTTACCATATAAACCCTTCTTTTATATTCCAATTTATATTCCAAAAGTATATTTATATTCTTTTATATTCCAAATTAGTTTCATCCCAAAACTTTGCATCTTTCCCTATTATGTTAGTGCTGCTTAAAGGGAACAGATGCTGTGCAAAATGTTTCTCATATATTTCAAGTACCAGAGTCTACCAAATTTTTTTCTTCAGCCCTTTGAAACTGTGCTGAAAGGGCTTCTGCTAGATTGTGAAAGCATTGCTCTCCTCTACCTACACTATCTTCTTCATTCCTAAAATCATTCCCAAAGCTCAGAGGAAAGAAGCCATAGAATGGAGGTGTCAATTTAATTCCCAATAAACAGATCACTCTCACCAGTGACAGGCAAGTGACAAGAGCCACCTCACTACAGAATGGAGTCACAAAGCAGAGACAAATGACATTAGCAGTCAAAATGTAGCCTGAACCATGGTGCAGATTCAGACAATTTATTAACTATGAATAGAAAACAGGAAGTCAACCCTTTCCCAAGCCAGATAAGAAGCCAGCTGGAAGCATGTGGATTATTGCTTGCTATCAATATGCTACAATATCATGCAGGACCCCGAGCCAGGCAGAAGAGAAATTTGATATCAGTATTGCCTAAAAAATGTATTATGGGGGTTAGAGATATATTCTCATACACTCCCCTCCTTCCAAAGAACATAAAACACAAGTGAAGCATAACTCCCAGCTGAATCCAAACCATGGTAGAGGAGACTGAAGTTACTAAAAACAATCATTAAGGCTCACTCATCTGCCATGTTCAATAAAAAATGACATTTACATAGTGCTTAAAAATTTGCTAAACCTTTCACATATATTCTTTCATGTGAGCCTCACAGTAACCCTGTATATACCCTGTACTGGTAGTATTATCCCTTTTGGAGAGAAGAGAAAATTGAGACTGAGTGACTTGGCCATGGTCACACAGACAAGTAAGTATCAGAGGTGGGATTTGAATCTCTAGGCCTTCCTGACCAAGTCTAATACTCTTCCAAGTCTTCTAAGTTTAACTCAATTCACTATGTCGCACTGTCTCTTTTAGAAATGGCACCAAATACCAATAAACAGGAGCCTGTCCAAAGAAGGATGACACTACAGTCTTCCTGGAGAGACCCCACTGAAGATGCTGGGGATGTTTAGCTTGAAAGAGACAAGGCTTACATGGGCCATGAACAACTCTCCAAATATTTAAATGCTTGAACTCAGGGAGCAGAAATAAGTAGTGAAAGTTTCACAAAGGCAGACTGCAGCTCAATGTAAAAAAAACTTAACAATCAGAGACATCAGAAAGAGCAACAGACAACAGCTCCCTCTCATTAAGCAGAACTTACTTATCTACTTGCTGGAGATATTGTAAAAAGGATATGGGTCAAAGAGCAGCTGGAGTAGATGGCCCACGAGCTCTTTTCCAATCTTTCTACAGTAGTTACACAGCTGGTATAAGCTATAGCCCAACAAAGCATCTGTCTTCTCCAAATATGTATGGAGTTACATGAACCAACAAATTTCTAACGAATAATGTTGTTACATACAAGTGAGTTCAGAGAATAAGGAGGGAGAGGGTAAAAGTGGAGAAAAGGAGCAAGACTTTACATTATATTGTTACATTATAACTTTCCAGCATTGAAACCTCTTTTACATTCTGGAGAGACAAAGCTGGCTAAACTGTTCTAGAGACATGCTACCTCTAAGGCTACAGAGGTGGGTTGGTTATCTCAATCTGTAAGAAAAAACCCAATGTTTCTGAAATGAACAAGGACAAAACAAAATAAATCATCTCTCAAAGAGGACATTCATCAATACTGTAGCTGTTAGTCAACAAATGACCCCATTTGGAGTTTTCTTGGCAAAGATACCAAAGTGGTTTTGCCATTTCCTTCTCTAGCTCATTTTACAGAAGAGGAACTGAGACAAACAGGGTTAAGTGAATTGCCTAGGGTCACACAGCTAATAAATGTTTGGGTCTGGATTTGAACTCAGGTCTTCCTGATTCCAGGCCCACTGTGCCACTCACTACATCTACACTGGGCCTTACAAAGCACTAAACTAAGTTTGGTTGAGCAGTGGAAGACACATGTTCTGTGGAACACCTCTAGGAGATTAAATCTGCCTCTCTAAAGGCCTCAGTGAAAATGGAGTTTATTCCAAAGAGGACAAAGGACTAGGACCACTGTTCTAAGGTTAGTCCTGAAGATACAATATGAATTAAGATTCAAAGTACACAAGCTTATAAAAAAAAAATACAGCATTTTCACCACGTAGTGGTCAACAACAGTGGCCCATCATTCCAAATAGACATCTTCACTGACTTTTCTCCCTGAGACATTCCTGTCACCAGACACTTAACTCTCATCACCTGATGTAAACCTACCAAAGTTCTGAGAGATCAAGGTACACAGAGCTTGGTGACTCCTTTCTTCCTATTAATGATAACAGCTCACATATTTTTATAGCCACTTTGCAGCTGACAAAGTATTTTTTTTCACAACAACCATTTCAGTTGGGTTATTATGACCATTTTAAAAGCACTACCTCCCAACATACAGCTCCTATAATCTCACCCCTGATTTCCTTCAGAACTCTGCTCAAGCACCACCTTCTAGGTAAAGCCCATGGCTTACCCTTTTCCAAATGACCTTGTGCATATATGTACATACAAGTCATACACGCACACGTATGTGGGCTTGCACATATATGCACAATACAACGTTAACTCCTTCAAAGGTAAAGGTTGCTCCATTTGTGTCTTTGTAGCCCCAGGGTCTAGTACAGTGCCTGGCACACAGTTAAAAACTTAATGCCTGTTAACTGATTGGTGTGATTGCTGAGCCACTGTCAGTAAGATCTGAACAATCACGGGGAATGGAATAAGTACCACAAGACCGAAGAAACACAAACGGGATATTTTTCAAAATAGGAACAGAACAGAATCCATAAACTAAAAACCTAGGCGTTTGACTCTAAATCCTGAGAAAATTCTGGAATGGATCACTAAAGAGACAATTAGTCAATGCCTAGAGAAGGAAGTAGTGATTAGGATGTGACTGCATAGCTTCACCAAGAACAGGTCACAGAAGATTAACCTTAGTTCTTTTTATATCCAGGTTACTAAGTTAGAAGATTGCGGAGTGCAGGAGATAACAGTTACCTAGATTTTAGAAGAGTATCTATAATGAAGAATTCCATGCTATTCTTGAGGAGGAAACAGAGAACTGTGGACAATTCAATGGATTTGGAACTGACTGAATGGCCAGACTCAAGGCTGGATGACCACCTACTGAAGATGTTGTGTTGGGTTTCTTGCTCAGATATAGGTTAAGACAAGATGGCCTCAGGTCCCTTCCAATTCTGAGATTTTCTTAGTAACTTTTACTTTACATTAAAGGGGACTTTAATGAAGAACAGGATGAAGGTTTTTAAAAGGGGATAAGAGAAATGAACCTAGCAGTAAGAAGCCCAGACTAAATGGTAAACAGAGGAGTTAAGGGAAAGACAGTAAGGAGAACTGTATCACAATGCTTGTGGTCCTGCCAAGAGGGGACCAACCATCACAGGGAGAGAAGGGCCATGACGATAAGAAATCTGAGGTAGAGTGGAGGGCTTAAGGTCTGCAAATATGCATGTGTTACCAGAGGACAATGATGCAAAGGACAGGGGAAGCAGCAACCATGGTAGCCATGGACACAGCTCCTTCCGTGGAGAAACTATTCTCCCTCCAATGGAGCATACCGCTCCCACCCCATGCTAGCACATGCTGAAGTCAAACCCCTGCAGACCCATACTAGTGACCCTAGCTGATGCACTAGGAAGGACTTCCTGATCAAGCACCATTATAACTTTTCATACAACCCCGTGGTCTGCAGGATGACCTACTGACCTCTTAACTCCAAGGAGCTCATCAGACACTAACTCTAAATGGGCTGTCATAGCAACAGTAATCAAACAAAACAGAAAGTCCACTGTTTCTCTCCAGACATTTCTGCTCTTAAGCATCAAGGTCCCAACGAAAGCCAACAGCTTTTTTTCTGACCTGGTAAAGGACTCCTCATATTTGCAGGGCAAACAGGTGCTCTATAAATATAGAATTCTCTGTAGTCATCATTCTCTGTCCCATCAGCTATGTCATAAGCTATCTTCCACAAAGAGGCCTAAACACTTAGCTGTCGCCTATACAGTCCAGTCTCAAGGAAAGCCTCACCAACTCACACTGATAATGCTGAAGGAGCCTGTTGGTCCTGACGTCCCACAGCTTGACAGTGTTATCTGTACCAGCAGCAGCAATGCATGTCCCACTGGGATGGAAGTCCACATAATTGACAAACCTAAAGTAGAAAAGACCACCTTACATTATCTTGCATCTCTGAATTAGGGTCAACAAATAGAATTCTCAATGCAATAAAAAGAGATCACACAAAAGTCAGTTTCCTTGCCCTACTAGGTCTGCACTAAGCATACAGTAAATGATTGAAAAATATAACTGACTGATGCAATTATTCTACAATGTATCCACAAAACGGACCTATTTTTCTATTAAGTAACAAGTCACAATTTTAAGCCAAAGGGAAAATGGGTTGGGGCTAAGACTAAATTGAGGAAGGTTTACTAACTATACCGTTTCAGTGTTTTTAAAATCAGACTATAGGCCTCAACATTAAAGTATCACCACAAAGCTTCCAGTGTTTTTTTGGCCAATATTCAATAACCACATGACATTTTGCTTGTCTAGAGAAGTATTTAGGCCCAAAGGTACGACACAGATGTTCCCCCAAACCCTAACTTTTCACCTACTGGTCAAGAGAGAGATCTTAGAATTTCACTAAGGAAATCTGCATGTTATCATTAGTTCAGGTGTTCATATTATAAAAGTTGCCAACCAAAATGACAGAAGATGAGATTACATCAACAATTCTGGACAAGTCGCCATTTAAATAAGTCCTTATATTTTGAATATTAAAGTACTATATAAATGTGCGCTACATTTATTATCAATATTAATGATTATAATGTTGAAAATAATAATATTAAGATAAGCCATAACTATCTGACCATGAAAAATGTATCATAAGCAATTACTCCTAGAGCCAAAAGTTTTCAAATCCATGGAATTAAAAAATAAGGCAGCTTAAAATACTTTCCCTTCTGATAAAATTTAATTACATTTACACGGACTTTTAATATCACAGTTCTCTGTGTTATAAAACTAGAAAAAGGAGCTACCTTAACATTTAAGTTGCCTGTCAAAACCTTCCTGTTTTTTCTAAGTACTTTGAAGTGATTAACCCTTATATCTAGTCACTGACATGAAAGCTGTAAATCGTATCTTTATTTGCTGCATTCCTTCCCAATAGAGAATTTGATCAGCATCTGTAGAAATTATCAGACATTATTTGTTACACTAATTATTTCCCAAGTATGTAACAGCCCTCTGACATCACCTTGTGCAAAAATGGCTTTTTAAAAATAGGAGGAGAATGGATAGTTGTCAGATTTCACCACTTGTGTTTCACAGGCAACTAATCAGACAAAACGGAATGGAAGGCAGCTTTGTAAGTGTGAGGACAGAGGAGGGACAGGCTGACAGGCTGAGTGAGCGGCAGGCTTACCCGCCATGTTCACAAAAGGAATGCACACATTCTCTGCTAGTCTTATCCCACAACTTGACAGTTTTATCATCACTGGCAGACACGATCAGCCTTCCATCAGGAGAGAATCTGAAAATGAAGCAAGGCATCATTTTTATACCATCAATTAGGTTAATCTAGGCAGAGTGAAAGAGATGCACAGATGCAGTTGTTAGCTACACTGGGAGGATGGTCTCATTGGAAGAAGGGTGTTGCTTTTATTTAAGATTCAAATCATGTGTTTTCTGGTCCTGCAGGCTCCAGTTGAATCAGACACCATTCCAGCATTTCCTAACGTATCACACCTGGGACAGCATCATTATTCCAGGTAGGCCTAAATTTCAGAGACATTACTCATAACAGGAATAGGAACTGCTTCAGCAGATAGTATTAAGTATGAGATCACAAGCAAGAATTGCTTCGAAGGGGGCCAATTACCACGCCAGACAATGTAGAGTAGGGATTAGTGATTCATGAGGATGGCAGGATCCCAAGGTAAATGGCAAGCAATCTCACTCCTCACCAACATCACAATGGGGTTCTGACAGTAGTAAAGCCCCCACGGAGTGATCAATGATCTAACATAACATACTTACTTACACTTCAGCTCACCTCAGGGACAGCCAAAAGTTACCAACACATCTGTCAAGCAGATGTTATCACCTTTTCCTTTCAGTCAGTCAATAAACGTTTCCTAAGCACCTACTATGTGCCAGGCCAGGGATAAAAAAGAGGCAAAAGATAGTCCCTGCCCTCAAGGAGCTCACAATCTACTGGACTGTGATCTAAGTCCTTAAATTTCCTCTCTTCAATTCTTCCTTTCTTTCGTTCTTTAGTTTTCCGCAGGCTTTCCTGAATCAATGAGAAAGCATTTCAAGCACTTCCTGATAAAAGGTACAGTATAAATCCAAACTGCTATATTCATTCAACAAAGACTTATTAAATGTCTACTGTGTGCAGAACACTGTCCTAGGCACTGGAGATGTGACATCATTCCTGCCACGAAGGACCTGACACCCCCGTAATAACTGCTAAGAAGTTACTCTCCAAGAGAACATGCAGCAACCACAAAAACTATAACCCAGGAGCAACAGAATAGCCCATCTGCCTCTGCAAGATCAAAGTACTATATTTTAAACAGGAAGCATTTAGGAAAGTAAAACATTGTTCCTACTTCGGAAAATACAGTATAGATAAGGAAAAAAAGTCTTCTATGTGCACAAGCGGGAAATGTACAAGGAGACAGTGATAAGAAAAAAGATATTAGGTGCAAAATATGTGTTGAAAGAAATAAATAATGGGAAATCAAATAGCTTTAGAATCAAGAGCAGAGAAGAAGATTAATAGCCAGAAGCCTAGCTTATAATGCTTGAGCCCATAATCTCTAGCATAGCAGGAATATTTCATTTATCCTTTTTTGCTCCTCTAGACCCCTCCCACAAACAAAATATCATGTGTTTCAGGTCACAAGTTTCACTCAGCCTGAGTCCCTCTAAGCTAGGGCATCTTGCTCCCTCATGGCACCAAGAGGGAGAAGCTCTCAAACCAATACTAGGAATTCTACCCAACTGGGTTTCTTTCACCTCTCCTACAAACCCAAGCGTGAAGCCTCCTAAATGCTATGTACTCATTTAGCTAATTAGCCATCTCACCTTCTTCCTCTGTAAGATAGAAAGTGCTATCACTACAATTAAGAATCAACCCTATCACTACAAAGAAGGTAGCGCCTCTCCAAAAGCATACAGAGGCAAACCATGTAGCATACAGTTCTTCAAAGTGTTGGAAGACAGTAAACATGTCCTCCCTGTCTTCTCTTGGCCAACTATCCCTCCTCTATCAGGTCCTCACAATGGTTTTTTCAAGTCCCCTCCACAAACTGGTGCTCTCCCTCTGGACGTGCTCTAATTTGTCAATATTCCTTTAAAAATGTGGTACCTAGATCTGTACACAATATAATCAGAATTACCTCTTATTAAGAATAAACTATAGTAAAAAGCAAAATCAAGACAGAAAATCTATAACTCTGTACCATAAGGATGGCCAAGGTGTAAATGCTCAAAGCCAAAGAGCAAGGGACGTGGGAGGGGTAAGAGTGGAGTGGTGGAGACTGTAAATTCTCAGCTTACTAGGAAATAAGATGTCATACAAATGTCCAGGTTGGACCTAACATCCCACTCTACACACACACACACACACACACACACACACACACACACGTTATCTGTAAAAAGCTACTTTATATATAATGTTTAAAGAAAACTATATACTCCTCTCCTTTCTTCTTATGAAGGATATTGACTTACTTGGCACAGCGGACCCAGTTGATGTGCTGGCTGAATGAGAACAAAAATTTCTGGCGGTGCACTGTCCACACTTTTACTGTTTTATCATCTGAGGCTGTCACCAATGACTGACCATCATTGGAAAAATGGACACTTCTTACAGTTCCTGTGTGAGCTCTGAAAACTGTAGATTCACCTTTGCTAAATGCAAAGACACCAGGTCATTAAAAGTCACTTTAGAAATCATTACAGTACAATGAAAAGCCCTCCTGATTCCCAAGTATATCCCTCCACTATAAATTCAGGTACAAGCATGTGTCTATCCTAAGACAAAGATGGAACAGGGACCTAAATGGGCCTGGATTTGGGCATGAAGTACTCAATAACCTTCTAATGTCATGCTGCAGCTATCACAGTCCCCTTTTTACCAAGTGACTAAAATGAAATGATTTCTCGGTCCTCACACACAAATGAGCATCACAGGCAATAAATATGTGAACACCCAGGTCTTCTTGACTCCAGCCACTGTTAGTCTGCAGAGCCCATGGCAGCCCCAGTCACACTGCCCATTTCAGTGAAAGAATAACAAAACTGGTCAAAGTAATCATGTCCCTGAAGGCTGAGGACTGTCTCCCTGAATGGCAATTAGCAAACTACTACAAATTCACTTAGAGAGACCAGAGATGCTTCCATGCCAAAGAAACTGAGCCCCCACAACCTGGCTATCTTGCTCCTCACAAAGACTACAAAGAAGCAGCCTACGACACTGGAAAGAGCTCTGGCCTGTGGGGCAGGAGATCTGGTCTAAATTCCCAGCTCTATTCTTTATGAGCTGTGTGACCCTGGGTAAATGGCTTTCCCTTTCTGGACTTCATTTTCCTCATCTGTCAACAAAGTAGGGGTGGGACTTGACAACACTAGAGTATATATCTAAGATTCCTTTGAGAACTAAATGACCTATGACCCTCTCTCTGAGTATGATGTAGGGATAGGAAAGGGAAAGAAGAGAAAAAGGTCTTCACAAAGCTAATTGTGAAGGGCAATAGCCCTTGGACTTGTGATTTCTAACAAACCAGCCAACCATATAAAAATTTTACAGAAAAGATGATCATACTTACAGATTTGGCACCCATACTCGGACAGTTTTATCTCTAGATCCTGATGCCACAAGGTGACCAGAAGGGGAAAACTGAACACACATCACTGCATCTTTATGCCCCACAAAACGATAGGCTCTCATATGAGGTTTCATGTGCCAGATCATCAAACATGAATCCATGCTGCCACTTACTAAATCAATAATTAAAGTTCTAGTTAATATGTATGCACATTATTCTGAATAATCACATATAATAAAAAGGACAGAATTTTCTCCTTCATAGATGAAAAATGGCACTGCCCCTACTTTTAGCAAGGTATATGCTTTAAGTTTTTCTGGTAATGACAGATTTCACTGAGCCATTAGTGTCCTCAGTACTGAAGTACAGTCTGTGAACATGCAAATGACTTTGGCCACTATCCAACTAAACTGACCAGCCACACACAGTAAATAATCCAAGCCACCAAATAGCATCTCCATAAAAAAAAAAAAAAACAACTTTCCAATGGCAGCAGAGAACCTCAAACAGTGAAGAATTCCCAGTAAAATTAGAAATAATTTTGAATACATAGAATTATTATTCATTCCACAAATATTCTTGAGCTTGCCTATAAGACAACTTATGAGAAATATATAGTCCCTGATCTCGAGGATTTACAGATTATGGATACCATTAGAAGGTACATATAACATGCAGTAAATTAAATGGGTTTTTATGCAAACACATGCAACTTCTAAAACAACCAAAAATTTCATCTTGCCCAATTAAGACGGGATGCCTTTGCTCAGACAAGGCTATAGAAATCATGACTTCTCATTTTCCATTTGGCTCCTCACATATACAAGTGCCCATCTCCACACACACCCCATTTTATTCTAAAATACATGAGCGCCTTCAAGAACACAAGAGATGACTTTACCTAACTGCTTCATGTTGAAACTGAAATCCACACTGGTAACAGCATCTTTGTGGCCTCTGAAATTTCTCTCCAATGATGGATCATCCTGCAGAACCAGAAAATATTTCAAATGCAAACTAACAGTAGAAAAGAGAACAAGAAACCTTTGCACAGAAACCTGTTTCTACAACAGTCAGAAAATGAGTGCTATAAGAAGTTAACTGTAGTTTTGTAAATCTACCAAACACTAGAGGAAAAAGGTGCCTCTGAGGTACCAACCTGGCAGCTCTCTCCACCCTCAAGCATACACATTGAGTTCTAAGTTCCATATCCCAAGAATATTATGAAATTAGAAATTATGTGATCAGTCTACAGCTAATTCAAAATTAATCCTGAACAGATCATTGGAAATAAAGAAAAGATCACAAATTTAGATCTAGAAGACACCTTAGAGACCATCTAGTCCCACAGCCTCCTTTTATAGAAGAAACTGAGTCTAAAGAGGCTATGTGATTCACTTAGGGCCATGGGGGGAAGTGCCTGAGAAGAGATCTGAGTGTTTATCCTCTGACTCTTCAATTTACTGCTTCCCACTGACCAGGCTAGAAAGTCACTCATCTTCAGTATGGATTAGCATCATTCTCCCACAACCCATCTGCTCTGCTGATGCTGCTGTGTGTGGGCTAGCTAATTAAATGAGCAGTTGGGAAGACAGCCTTGGAGTAGACCAGGTACAAAAGGGAGCTAGGGGAGAGTAAACATTCTGTTCTGAATTGACTACATATAATAAGCATATACCAACCCAGATACAAACCCACATACTGGAAAAACAGCTCTCTTCCACATATTCTGCATGTGTATGGGGAAGAGGGGGAGGTTGCCAGAATTTCCTATTGTCAAGAGGCTCCATTGCCTTCAGAGAAGTCACATTCAGAACATAGCTCTTGTTATTGGCTCTTCATATTGGGAGATTCCCAGAAACAAAGGACATGAAGTGAATCCCTAACTACTCCCCCAAAAAGATGGGTCAACCTGCAAAGCACTGTCCCATGTGAAAGGAGCAGGCCCTAGAGTCTGGCAGCTCATGTCGATCTGTAGCAGCCAATGATGGATGTGAGACATGGAAATTCACATAGACCCTTGCAGCTGCTGAGATCTAGGCCTGTCTTCACATTCAGCTTAACCAATTCAACAAACATTTATTACTACCATGTGTGAGGCATGGAGGAAATAAACACTCTGCTCTCATGAAATTCACATTCTTCTAGAAGGCATCTGACATGTACTTTGGAAGGGAGAAGCGTGAGAAAGAGGCCCCATTCCCAAACTGCCCAAAAATCAAACTGATTCCCCAGCCAAGACACACCTTAAAAGGTACAATGCCACAATGCCAATTCAGCCCCTTTTGCTCTTCCAGGCCCCAGAGCTCTACACTGAGCATTTGGGGTAAAGTTTGGACACGAAGCTACTAAAACATTTCCAATGATTCCACTCGCCAGTTGTGCTCCCCTTTCTCTGAACTCCTACAACCCTTGCCAGGATAAGAATATGTGGCTCACCCACCATGATGTTATTTTTTTAAAGGCTGGGAAGTGAGGAGGCCTAAGGATTCAAAAGAAGCATATCTACTCCCCCAAAGGTACAAAACAACTCTCCTTTGTAAAGTAGGTTTACAAACACTTTATTCACCACAATCTTAAGGAATTCTTTTTTTGTGTGCACTCAATTCTTCCTGACACTCTGTGCACTTTCGGAAGGAATGACTGGGCTATGCTTGGTCTTTTCAGGGTACTTGGTGTTCTGTTATTCCACAATCTTGAGGACTGCTCAGGCTAGGGACCTGTAAGCTTTCAGTACACCCCAAATGATCTGATCCAGAATGAAATCTAAGCGCTACCCTCTTAGTCTAAGCTCTGTAAGCTCTCCACTTGGGCTTGGTTCTAATCAATACTACTGTAGACTTGCCCCAGTTGGAGCACTGGTAAACTACTGTTGAGCTTAGTCACCTTCAACCAGCTAGAAAGCTCAGTGGGTTCAGAGCGACAGAACCGCAGATTTCACTTTGGTATGGGGTACCTACCCTGGTATTTCTGCTGCAGACTTCGGACTAGGTTGGCTCTGAGGCCCCACTCTGCTCACAGGGTCAGAGTCACAGTTGCTGTTGACTTCTGTACTTATTCTCACTCGGCATACAACTTAGGGCCTTGACTTTTCTTGCCCTGGAACATCACCCCTTAGCTCAGGTGCCCTCCTTGGCTCCTACTGGAGTGACAGTGAGTGACAGATCTGCCAGCTGGCAGTTATTGTTCTCTACCCAAGATCAGGTTGCTCTGCCAGATCTAGGACCCGTTCTTACCTTGGTATACAGCTACCGGCAGGCCCTCATTCAGTCCCCAAGCTGGACTGCTCTAAGCAGTCATTCTGGGCTAGACTCTATCCTGTGTCCAAAGAATGCTATCAACCCATCAATCAGCAAGCACTCATTAAGCAACTACTATGTGCCAGCTCTGTAGATACAAAGACAAAAGTGACATGGTCTCTGCCCTCCAGGAGCTGACTGTCTACACCAACCTCAGCCATAAAAATGATGTCATGAATTTTTTTCTTGCATTTCCTGACCAGGTCTTAGTCTGGTAGATTTTCTAGACTTTGTGGAGGAATTGTGGTGGAAGCTCAGCTATACTACCTCCTTCCACTCTTCCATCTTTGCTAGTGTCCTCAAGAGCCTCCTGATTGATCTATCTTCCTGCTTCAAATCTCTCCCCAGTCCAACCCACCCTCTACACAGCTGCCAAAGCGATTTTCCCAAAGTTTAGGCCTGACCATGTTCTTTCCACACTCTATTCGCTCAACGAGCACATATAACCTGCTGTATCTGGCACTGACATATCTTTACAACCTGACCCCTTCTTATCTTTCTCACTAAATTTACCATTACTCCCTCCACGCACATTACACTCCAAACAAAGTGGCCTTCTTCTAACTTTGGACTGGCAGACCCCCATGTCTGGAATGTACTCCCCCAACACCTTTACCCCTTAGAACGACTTCCTACAAGCATTAGCTCAAGTACCAGCTTGTTCATGAAGTCTTTCCTGATCACACCCCACCCCTAGCTGCTTGTAACTTCCTCCCCAAAAATCACTTTTTATCTATGGGAGTATTTTCTATATATAAACATATGCATATGTACATTTGTGTATGTATGTACATATGTGTTCTATATGTAATATATACCATATATGGGGTGTGTGTATAAATAGATACTTACACACACATTTACATACATAGTTTTCCTCTTCTAGACTGTCAGCTCCTAGAAGGCAGGGATCATCTTGTTTTTTAGTCTTTGCATCTATAGTGCCTAGCACAGTGCTGGCACATATTAGGTGTTTAATAAAGGCATGGTGATGGGTTGAAGAACAGGCAAAGAGAAGTAAATGTGGTCTGTGTCACCCAGAAGCTCACAGTAGAGTATGGAATAACTACAAAACAAGGAAGGCGAAAGTGCTTGTGATAGAACAGAAAGGGAACTGGGCTTGGGGGTAGAGAATGTCATAGCACTAGAGTTTAGAATTAGAAGGGACCTTCAAGATCATATATAGCCCAACCCCTCACTTTACAGGTGAGGAAACTGAGGTCCAGAGAAGTAACTAGGGAGGCAAGGAATAATAGAGAAGGGATTCTAGACTTGAAGTTAGACAAAACCTAAGTCCAAATCCTCCAATGTTACTGTATAATCATATGCAAATCACTTTCCCTTTATGAACCTCAAATTCCTCACCTAAAATAAGGGGATATTACCTATACTACTTACCTCATAAGGTTTTCTGAACATCAAATGAAGTGTATGTAAAATGCTGTATAAATCTTAAAACACTAAATGTCTGCTTTTATTATTGCCATCTAAGATTCTACATCTAGTAAGGCCAATATGCAAAACCAGTTATTAACTCATCTTGAGTGTTCTTTCTACAAATAACTTCTCCCCCCCTCCCCATATACTACTACCTTTGCACACAAAAAGTCTGTGCAAATAGGTGGACAGTGAAATAAATGTTCATTTATATTGTTTTAGAGGGGGAAAAACAACAAAGGAAAAAGCAGTGAGAGAAAAAAGGCCAAACCCTTTGAACAGTGTACAGCGGTATGTAAATTACTTGGGACACAGAATAATTTTGATAGTTTCCTTTTTTGATAGCAATGGTAATGCATATATGCAAGCTTCTACTTAGACTGGGCTGACTCAGAACACATGACCTTAATCAGATGAAATGAGATCAACCTGGTTTCCCTACGTGTAGTTCTCCATCAGTCAAATGCTCTAAGTGTTGATTTTGCCTCATACTTAGGTGTTTCATTGTCCTCTTTTATTGTACTTTTAATTCTGTGGTTTTTAAGAATAAAAAGGCCAAGGAAAAGCACAAAAGCTGTAGCTCCTAAAAAGCATACTTCAATGATGGTTAGATATTTATTGCAGTGGTTTGGTGGTGTGGGCAGCCAAGCATTTCAAGGATCACTTAAGCCCACAATGATGGTCGGTTACACCCAAACAAAAGGAAAGGTGAAAAACAAAAAACATCAAGAACTCATAATCCATTATTGTAATAGTCTAATTCACCCTAAAAAAACTAAACAAAGCCCTTCAGAAGGACCTGGAGGGGCTATTACTAATTCCTTAACAATGCAGCACAGGCTTCTTAAAGTTGGAAGAACACAGAATACAAATTTTTAAAAAAACATACATGCTAACCACTGGTATGAAGAAAAAATACTTGTCATGCGGAACAAAATACAAAAAGACTAGTATACTGAAGAGTGGGAAAAGTTAACTTTTTTCATTCAAGGCTTTAATAAAATCATCACAAATCTAAGTGATTAATAAGATCCTGACATCTTCCACAGATATGAAACATCCAACCAAAAACTGTTTTGGGTGTTTTTTTTAACTTCCATTGATTGGGCTTAAAAGGCTGGTCTGAACTGAAGGAAATGATAAATTATGACATACAATGATATGAGAGGCAGAATTACTAGGCATTACAAAAATTCCCAAATGGAGATGGAGTACTGCAACACAGTCTTACACCATGCCACAAGTCACAAAATAAAGAAATGCATCTTCAAGATGGAGATAGGGGCAGCTAGGTGACACAATGGATAAAGCATCAGTCCTGGAGTCAGGAGGATCTGAGTTCAAATCGACCTCAGACACATGATGCTTACTAGCTGTGTGACCCTGGGCAAGTCGAAACCCCGATTGCCTCACCAATTAAAAAAAAAAGATGGAGATGAACACAATGACCAGAGGACTTGCCTGTTTTAAAACTCATTTAAAACCCAGGGGCTATAATCAAGGGTAGACTTGGGAAAACAGACTACTTCTCAAAGGTATGCTTAATAATCAACGTGATAAATTTGTGCTTCTATGATGAATTAAAGACCAAGACAAAATCTTGAGAACTCAACATGAATCACATAAAAGAGGCTTCTTAATCGTTATTTTTGTGCTCTGGATCCATTAGACTCTAAGTTCCTGGGACTGTCTTTTGTCTTTGTACCCCCAGTGCTTATTAGCACAGCATATGGCACGCAGTAGGTGGCACACATTAAGCTGAAACACAGTAGGTGTTAATCAATTTTCAGTGATCAACTGACTAGACCCTTTGGCAATCTAGTAAAACCCACGAACTCCTTCTCAGAATGTTTTGTAGGCTCTGTTCATAACTCAAGGAAATGTTAAATTTCAGTGAAAGTAAAGAAGTAATTGGCTTCCCTCATCAAAGTTCACGGTTCCCCTGAAATCTATTCACAAGCTCTCTGGCTTCAAATCGCAGCTAAAATCCCACCTCCCACAGGAAGTCTTCCCCAATCACTCTGAATTCCAGTGCCTTTCCCTCCTGTTAATTACTTTCTGTTTATTCTGCGTATAAACTTTGCATTAACTGTTTGCCCGTTGTTCCCAACTGGCTTCCATTAGATTGTAAGTTTCTTGAGGGTGGGAACTATCTTTTGCCTCTTTTTCTATCCCGAGCTCCTGGCACTGTGCCTGGCACCTAGTGGGCGCCTAGTAAGTGCTTACTGAATTATGTTAAAAACAAGTGAAAAAGGCGTATTTTGCACACTGCTGAGTTGCAAAGTTTATTGTGCTGGCCAATATATTTCGTCCTTTTACTGTATCCCAGGTCATTCACACACTGCTCTAAGATCCGATTTGCTCAAATTTCCACCAAAACTCACAGAGTTGGGGCCTCCCATTTACAAGCTGGCCCACTGCCCCCCCCAAAAAAGGAAAACAATTTGTTTAATAGTCATTAGAAAGGGTCAGATTTGGACCCCGGGCTTCCTGATCCCCCCGTCAAGTCTCTTCCCATCACATCCCATTCCTGGAGCAAGCGCGGAGCCTTCTCTTCTCCGCACCATTCCGACAAGCATTCATTATGCCCCTACAGTCTGCAGAAACCAGAGCCCGCGCCCGGCCCCGCCGGCCCTCAAGAAGCTGCCAGTCTGGGGGGAGGGGCCGCCCCAACCACCCTCAGCCCCGCGGGCCTCGGCTTCCCCCGGCCCAGGAAGCGCGGCTCCCTACCCCCCGCCGCCCCGGTCCCAGCCCCGGGCCCTCACCAAGCAGGGGGCCGCCATGGCGCCGGCCGGCCCGAAGTTCCGGCAGTTCAGTTTCCGCGCCCTCAACAGCCGCCAATAGCAACGACATCCGCGCCTTAAAGGGGCGGGACCGCCCCGCAGGGCATGATGGGGGGGTTTTCCCAGCCGACCGGAAACCAGCCGCTGGGAAAGGTCCTAGACGCTCCGCCCTCTCTCCATCTCTTCCTGTAGCCTGCAATTGGAGTGACGGTTGTCCCTTTTTCTTCCCGCCCACCCGCGGCCTCCCTTCTGTCTCCAACGGTCTCACACTCCTTCCTCCTTCCCCTCCTCCGACAAGCTCGGAGGCGGGACGAGGTGAGAAGGAGCTGCGCAGCCTCAGTAAGTGCAAATTATCCAGGCCGCGGACACCTTCGACTAGCAGCAGGGGGCGATGTGGAGACGGGCCTTGGGATGTTTTGTTACCGTTGTGCGTGGCTAGAAATGGATTAAATATGAGGAGGGTGGGGACGCCCTTCTCTGGGCTCCGCCCTCCCCAGCCGGGCATCTCGGTTTCCCAGCAACTACCAAGCCCGACCGGAAGAGGCGGTGAGGGCGGAGGCGGAGTGGAGGGTGAGCAGCAGACGTTTGGAAATCGTCATTTCCGGAAGGAAGTGAGAGGCTGACCCGAGCCCGGAAGTCCGGGGCTGGCTGATTCCACCTTCCTTCCAGCTGTGGTCTTCCTGCGGTTGCCACGTCTCCGGAGCCTCAGTTTCTACATCTGTAAAGTTTGTTGTTGTTGCTCAGCCCTGCCGGACTCTTTGTGACCCCCATGGACCATAGAACACCAGACCCTTCTATTCTCCACTATCTCCCAGTCTGTTCAGGCTCGTGTTCGGTTTTTTCCATGACACTGTCTGTCCTCATCCTCTACCATCCCCTTCTCCCTTTGCCTTGAGTCTTTACCGACATCACGGTCTTTCAGTGAGTCCCATCTTCTTGTTATGTGGCTAAAGTATTTAAAGCTTCAGCCTCAGTATTTCACCTTCCACTGAATAGCCTGAATTAATTTAAGTATGATTTGATCTCCTTACTGTGGACAGCAAGGGACTCTCAGAAGTCTTCGCCAGAACCTCAATTCGAAAGCATCAATTCAAGTCCAACTCTCACAGCCATAAATTGGTACAGGAAAAACCAGAGCTTTGACTATGCAGACCTTTGTTGGCAAGGTGATGTCTCTGCTTTTTAGGATGCTGTCCAGTGTAGCTTTCCTTCCCAGGAGCAAATGGCTGTTAATTTCATGACTGCAGTTGCCCTTTGCGGTGATCTTTGAGCCTAAGAATATAAAATCTGACACTGCTTCCATTTCTTCTCCCTCCATATGCCGTGAAGTGATAGTTGCTAAAATCTTAGTGTTGTTTTTTTTTTACTGTTAAACTTCAAGCCACCTTTTACGCTTTCTTTCACCCTCATCAAGAGGCTTCTTAATTCCTTTTCACTTTGTGCCATCAGAGTGGTATCCTCTGCTTCTCTGTGATTGTTGATACTTCTCCCAGCAGCCTTAATTCCAACTTTTGATGCATCCAGCCTGGCATTTTCTCATGGTGTACTCTGCATATAAGTTAAATAAATATGGTGACAATATACAGCATGGTACTCCTTTTCAAATCTTAAGCAAATCAGTTGTTCCATGTTTGGTTCTAACTGTTGCTTCTTGGCCTGCATACAGGAGACAGACTTGCCACATTTTGTTGTGATCCACACAGTCAAAGCCTTTGGTGCAGTCAATGAAACAGAAGTCAATGTTTTTTTTTCTGGAACTCCCTGACTTTCTCCATAATCCAGCAAATGCTGGGAATTTAGTCTCTAGTTCCTCTGCTTCTTCAAAAACCAGCCTGCTCTTCTGGTAATTCTCAGTTCACATATTGCTGAAGCCTAGCTTGAAGAATCTTAAGCATGACCTTGCCAGATGTGTGAAATGAGAGCAACTGTTCAGTAATTTGATCATTTTTTGACATTCCCTTCTTAAGGATTAGGGTGTAAACTCATGTTTTCCAATCTGGTGACCACTGTTGAGTTTTCCAAATTTGCTGGAGTATTGAGTGCAGCACTTTAATGACATCATCTTTTAGGATTTTAAATAGCTCAGCTGGAATTCCTTCATCACCATTATTAACCTTATTGTTAGTGGTGCTTCCTGAGGCCCATTTGCTGATGTTAAGGTCTTCTATAGTTCTTTTGTATATTCTTGTCACTTTTTCTTAATCTCTCCTGCTTCTATGAAGTACCTACCATTTTTGCCTTTTATCATGCCCATTTTTCCATGAAATGTTCCCTTGATATCTCCAATTTTCCTAAAGAGATCTGTCTTTCCCATTCTATTGTTTCTTCTATTTCTTTGCATTGCTTATTTAAGAAAACCTTTTCTCTCCTTGCTTTTCCCTGGGATTCTGCATTCAGTTGAGTATATCTTTCCCTTTCCCCTTTACCTTTTGCTTTCCTTCTTTTCTTCAGCTATATGTAAAGCCTCATCAGATAGTCATTTTGCTTTGTTGCTCTTCTTTTTCTTTAACATATTTTTTGTTGCTGCCTCTTGTACAATATTGTGAAACTCTGGCCATAGTTTTTTAGGCACTCTATCCACCAGATTCATCACATCCACTTCATAAGGGATGTTATTTAGGTCTAATTGTTTTCCCCATTTTCCTCAATTTAAGTCTGAATTTTCCAATAAGAAGCTTGTGATCTGAGCCACAGTCTTCTTCTAACTCACTGTATAGAGCTTCTCCACCTTTCTGTGCAGAGTATATAATCAATCTGATTTTGATATTGACCCTCTGGTGATGTCCATGTGTAGATATGCCATTTGGGTTGTTGGAAAAAAGGGTTTGCCACAACCAGTGAGTTATCTTGACAAAACTCTATTGGTATCTGCCCTGCTTCATTGTGTACACCAAGGTCAAACCTGCCAGTTACTCCAGTTTTGTTTTTTTTTGGCTAGGCAATTTGGGTTAAGTGATTTGCCTAGAGGCACACAGCTAGTAAGTGTTATGTGTCTGATGCCAAATTTGAACTCAGGTCCTCCTGACTCCAGGGCTGGTGCTCTGTCCACTGCACCACCTAACTGCCTCTCCAGTTATCTTTTGATTTCCTACTTCAGCACTCTAATCTCCTGTGATAAATGTGATGATCTTTTTTTTTGGTGTCATTTCTAGAAAATGTTGTATGTCTTCATAGAAACGATCAACTTTGGTATCAGTGGTTGGAGCATAGACTTATGTACTGTGATGTTGAACAGTTTGTCCTGAATTTGAACATTTATCATTTTGTCATTTTTGAGATTATACCCCAGTACTGTTTTTCTTACCCTTGCCTATGAGGGCTGCTCCATTTCTTCTAAGGGAGTCTTTCCCGTAGTAGTATATGTAGTGATCACCTAAATTAAATTTACCCATTCCCGTCCTTTAAGTTCACCGACACCCAAAATGTTGATGTTTAATCTTTCCCTGTTTGACTATATCTAGCTTACCTTGCTTCCTAGATCTGCAGTTCTTTTATACCTTGAAGAAGAATCAGCAGGCACAAATGAGGTCTTTTGTGAAATGTGCACACAGATTATGATTACATTTGTTTGGGGTGGGGAGAATGGAGGGGCAGGTCCTAGAGTGATAGGTTTAGAGTATGAAAGGGACCTGGAGGAAGGGATTTGATCATAGGGTCATAAATTCAGAGCTTGGAGGGGAGGGAGAGGGAGAGTCATAGAATCAATTAATTAATTAATGAGGGTCATAGGATCTTAGATTGAGAGTTTGAAAAGGACCTGGAGCAGGTAGGGGAGGATCATAGGATCATAGAAGTTATTAAGGACCTAGGAGGTCATCAAGTCCAACCCTTTATTTTACAGATGAGGAAACTGAGGCACAGAGAGTAGAACTGATTTGCCCAGGGTGATATATCTAATAAGGATCTGAAGCATGATGTGCATTCAAGTCTTCAGCCAGCTTCCTGAAAGCTGTAGGGCATAAGGGCGTTAGGAGAGATTTTGAGACTCCTATTACCATTCCTGGATGACTTAAAATACATTTTATTAATGCTTTTTGTCTTTTCTGAGAAAGAAAAACTCTCCTCTCCTTCCCCCATTGAACCTGCTCTTGTGAGAAAGAAAAAATTTAAGCAAAAACGATGAACAAATCTGGCCATATAATAGAACATGCTGTTCTAGGAAAAGTCCCCCAACTCTGCCAGGAGAGGAGATATGTTACATTCTGTGTTCTCCTTAGGCTTCATGGGTTCTTCAGTTCCTGACAATTCAGTTTCCTAAAGTCCTACCTTCTACTGGAAACCTTTCCCAGTGCTCCTTGATCTTAGGGCCTTCCCTTTGAGATTCCCTCCAATACATCCTGTATTTGTCGTATTTGTGCATAGTTGTTTGCTTATTGTCTCCTCCATTAGATTATGAGCTCCTGTCCCCAGCACTTAGCACAGTGCCTGGTACATAGGAGGCACTTGATGACTAAACCTTCATTGGAGAAGGTTGCTCATCTCAGAGCATCTCCTCTTTTCTCACTGGGTTGTACAATGTCAGGGCCTCCCTGAGTTCCTCACCGTGCCTCAGAAGCTCAGGAAACCTCATCATCCTGCAAGCTGCCATCGGCCTTGGGAACCCACCTCATCTTCATCCTCTGTCCCTCTGTTTGGAGGGTGGAGACATGAACTAAAGAAGGAGCTATGCTCAGAATGTTATTTCTTACTGTTTTGGGACCTCTTTGACCTTTCCAACAAGTTTCTTCCCCACTCCCTGCAGCTTCTCCCTTCCTTTTGTATGTTGTCTTCCCCATTAGGTTATAAGCTCTTTGAGGGCAAGGACTCTGCCTTTCTTTTTTGTATCTATCTGTATTCCCAGAGTTTAGCACAGTGCCTGGCACAAAGTAGGCACTTAAAAAAATTTTATTGACTGATTGACTTTGTAGTAATTTTGTTTATTGTTCTTTTGGTTCCATTTGTTTCACTCCACATCAGTTCATACAAATCTTCCCATCTATCCCTGACTTCCTCATATTCCTCATTACATCACAATAATATTTCATTGTATTCAAATACAGTGCTTTGGTTTTGTTGTTGTT